TGACTCGAGAGGAGACTCGAGAGGAGACTCGAGAGGGAATTCAAGAGGGGACTCGAGAGGGAATTCAAGAGGGGACTCGAGAAAACGAAATGGCACCATAGTCTACAGAATTAAAATCATGTGGATTTAAATAACACTTGAAACTATCAATTTAAACAAAAACCCATTGAGAAAATGTATGTTAAAGATAATAGAATATAGCCATTAGAAAAAATGCAGTTAACGCCGACAGGACTCGGGGAGCTGGCCGGTAAGCCAGTCCTGGAGCCGAAACTTGAGTCGGGACCATGGGTACTGGGGCCGGTACTGAAGCCAGAACCATGGCTGTAAGGTCCGGTTCTGGAGCCGGAAACATGGCTGTAAGGTCCGNAGCAGCCATGGCTCCATGCTCCAGTACCGGCCCACGCAGCTTTGCTTCAATACTCCATTACCTGGCTTACACAGCCAGGGTCCAGGCTTCCGCTCCGCGCCCAGCAGCCATGGTTCCGGCTCCAGTGCCGGCCCCAGCAGCCATGGACCCTGCTTCAGCTCCGGACCTTACAGCCATGTTTCCGGCTCCAGAACCGGACCATACAGCCATGTTTCCGGCTCCAGTGCCGGGCCCAGCAGTCATGTTTCCGGCTCCAGAACCAGACCTTACAGCCATGTTTCCGGCTCCAGAACCGGACCTTACAGCCATGGTCCCGGCTCCAGTGCCGGCCCCAGCAGTCATGTTTCCGGCTCCNCCAAAAAACTCCTAAGAGACGCAAGGCCAGGTTTCCGCGCCCAACAGCCATGGTTCCGGCTCCAGCGCCGGACCCAGCAGCCATGGTTCCGTGACTGGAGCACGGAACCATGGCTGCTGGGTCCGGCGCTGGAGCCGGAACCATGGCTGTTGGGCGCGGAAACCTGGCCTTGCGTCTCTTAGGAGTTTTTTGGAGGCTTCGTGGACCTCCAAACGCCAGACCAGACCCCAAGAAAGGGTCAGAAAATGAGGACTGGCTCTCAGGGCTACGTGAAAAAATCCTAAGCAACTCAGGCAACAAGCTCCAGAGCCAAGGCTTGCGAGCAACCTCCTGACGTGCCTCCTTCAACGCAGCCTCTCTACCCCGTCTAGATGAGGCGCCTTTCCGCGTATAAAAAATATACTCCAGAGAATATCCAAGACGTTCCGCCTGTAGCATCAAAAGGTCTGCTGGGTCCATTTTTGGTCAGTTCGTTCTGTTACGAATCCAGGCACTTAGTATGTAGGAACCAAATGCAGACAGGGAGGCAGAGGTAAAGTATTGTGAGATACTTTATTTTTCCATGATTTAGCAAAAAATGAACAAAAAGGTAATCACCAAAACTCCAGTCGAGATGACAAAAAAACAGAGGACAAAAAATGAAAGGGGCGGACAACACGGCGCGTGGACCATGCTCCGGCTGTCAACAGCCAACATGGCTGCGCTTGGCAACTCACGCGCATGTGAGAAGCAAAAAAACCAAAGAGTTCCAGAGAGCAGGACCTGACATGACCAATAGACAAGACGACTGACACTGAACACTGGTAGACAGGGGAATTTAAACACAGGGTAAAAGGGCACCCAAGAGATATTAAAAAATATCAGAGAGGAGGCGCGGAATTGCAATTTGTAAAACGTGTTCCAGCTTGGACATTTACTCGAGGGGGCTGTTTAACTGCGAAAGGACATACTTGTCACCACTTCGGGATTACCTTCCACCACTTGTTAAATCAAAACACCGGACTAAAATATGCCGGGAGTTATGATCAACGTAACCCTGTTTTTCTTCTGACATTTCTGTGATATTTTTTCCGGATGCAATAAACCTTTCGGGGTCCGATAAGCGAATGGCCTTTTTAACCATTTTTTCGGTTCCGGATAATTTCGGTGGGAATCCGAATATTCGGGCATTCACCTA